CGTTAAGATATAAGGGAAAGAATTTGTAGAAGGTTCAATCTTCGTGCCGTTATATAAGGTAGGGAAATCATTGTAGAATTTCTGTTCTTGTCTCAGAGAGCGCGTCTAATATCAGAGAATCCCAGGCCATCGTCAACAGAGGTAGTTCCAGTGGACCAGACGATTTTAGGAGGAGCATGGTGATCGGACTGAGAAGGGCAGGTTTGTTGATATGGCAAATCTTAACTGACACACACCCGAACGCGTCCACAGTGCACCGGCTGTGGCGACGATGGTTGAAAGAAGGAAATGTGACAAGTTCGAGGGGTGCCGGTGCAGGCAGAGTTACATCAGCAAGCGTGGATCAATGATTCCGCCGACAAGCGGTGGTGCACCCGCATGCCATTTCTACCTCCATTCTGCAGCATGTTGAGGACACCTTGGATGTTCCACTATAACCAGAACCGTTTGCCTCGTTTGGTGGTTAGGCTTGCACTCGTGGCGTCCGTTTATAAGACCCCACATCATAGACGACAACTTTTGCGATGGTGTCGGGCAGGAGCGATGTGTACGACGAAATGACACAGGGTAGAGTTCTCAGATGAATCACGCTTCCGCTTCTCCAATGTAGTCGTCGTATAAGAGTGTGGCATCGAAGTAGAGTCAGGTGCAATCCGGAAGCAACTGCGGAATGCACCACCGCATGACAACGCGGCATCATGGTTTGGGGCAAAGTCCTTCTTATTGCTGAATTTTCAATGTCGGGCAGAGTAAGATGCTTGTTGCCAAGCAGTTCTGCATAAACCTCCAGACTGAGTTAGTACGTGACAATATGAGGCATAAAAGAAAAATGCGAATTAAACTTTTAACTGACAGCTAAGCTGGGAGGAAATATCACAAACTTAGTGGTACAATTTTTATATTAATCAATGAAATTATCAGATGTTATCTCAAGAGAAAATAAAGCCAAAAACAAAAGCAGACAGTTAAATATAAGCAGAATAGGCCTAATCACAATAGATAAAATTTCATCAAGAGAATAATTACAGGTCTTATAAATTGAACAGCAGAAAAGAATTAAAAGCATATTAATTATTTCTAACATAATTTATTATTATTATTATTATTCAATAATTAAACCTGGAACTTCTCACTATAAAAATATGACGTCTGAAACATCACTGAAGACTTTAATCATCATACCACAAGTTTTGCCACACTGTAAGACAGTTGAGCTCATCTCATAAATTGTTTAGATGATTTATTATTCTACAATGATGAAACAAAATTATTAATAATCATAGAAGAAATAATGATGGTGAAATTTCGCTGTTAATTTAAACAATTTATTTTTCTAAATAAAACAGTCTGTGCATAGGAAAGTCTCCCATTGTTGTTCAAATTTGTTTGTCTAAATATATAATACACTGTTCAATTTTTTTTCGACAGCAAAATAGATAAATAAATAAATAAATTGAAATGTTTCAAATTTTAACGGTCGCCCAAAAGGTTTAAGGATTTATGTTAAGTATTTCATACTCTCGCTGAGTTAGCAATCAACTAGCGTGCTTATACACTCACACCTTACTAACCCATTCTTTTTATCTTTTTAGCTTGATTAACATCCTTTACTTCGCACTTATGCCATATACAATTCGCAAAATTACAAAAAAATTATAAAAGTTTTAAAAGCAACATAGTGGTATAAATTTAGAATTTCCGATGCAACTTTAATTGTTGCCATATACGTTTCCGTTCTTTTTTTTTTTTCAGTCTTTTCTCAGTTCGTCATATCAATATTCAGTTTTCATACTCAAATGGCTTTACAAAAACTTTTCTGGCTTTTGATTATTAACATTTTGTTTATTTAGTATAGTTATTAAATATCACGTTCTTCGCGCACTTCCGTAACATAAAATTCGATTAAACAGCAAAATCGCAAAATGTTTAAAGCATCACATCTTTAGAATTTACAATAGACAGTCTCATGCGCTGGCGACAAAAATATATAATTTCATTCAGTAGTGCCACTACTCACTTTGAAATCGTTGAGTTTGTTGATCAAAAATTCATTAAATTTTTCCAAAATATGAAATAGATAATGCAACCAATTCAAAATTCTAAATTCGAGCTTCCAAGTGACCATGTTCGGTTGTAGAACTACGTTATTCAAAATTTAATGGCTGTAGGTACCATTTCTTTTATAATACGAGAAACATACACATAGTCAGGCAGATTCTTCATTATTTAATTTCTTTAAATATAATACAGGGCGATAAAATGTGAAGTGTGAACAATCTGATTGATAAAACGCATTTAAGTGTTTCGACGCAAAATGCCGTTTCGACACTAATTCGGAAGTGACGTCTCTTTTCGAGTTAATAAAATAAAACATCTAAAATTATTCAGATTTTAACGTCGCAGTGTAGTTCTTGTTAAGAATTTTTATGCTTCCGTTACGTCTTTCCGTTGAGCTTCGAAGCTTAGAATTCTGGTCTTGGACCCACAGCAGCTAACGCAACCTTTTTTACATTTATTATTAAACACCTCTTCTTTTGCACTAACACCACATGAAGTTCAACAGTAAAACCACAAATTTTGCGGACGAAGCATACTATTACAATTTTGGCAAAGTTTTGCCATGCATATTCGGTGTAAAGTACGTCTTTTCCAGATACCAAACTATCAAGCGAAAGTCACCTGTAGTGTCGTCTTTCCAAATAGTGTATCTTTTTGCTGTAAATTATCATAGAGGGATTCACTTGAGATTAAGTGACTAGTGCTGCTGTCGGCGAAGGCAGTACTGGAGACAACTCCAACACTATTTCGAAATGCAGCAGTCTGTGTGGAAGATACACAAGGTCGGATTCGTACAGGAGCAAAATTAGATGAATTTGAGTTGGGGAGGTCTGGACAACTAAACTTGATAAAACCTTTCTTTCCGCATCTATAGCATGTTAAAGAAGGATGATTTTCCTGTCGTTTTTGCTCACCACGATTTGAAGAGGTTTTACTTGTTCCCTGTACATCCTTTGTTCGATTTTCTACTTTGTTTTTGGATAGATTAGTCGCTTTGAAAGAATAGTTCCTCTTTACAGGTGAATGAATGTTTAGTTCGTATTTTTTAACATGTACCGCTTCGTAATCATCCAATATCTGGACTAATTCAGAGGAACTCTTATTGTTGCCTAAAAGTCAACAGAATGCCCCCAAATTCACTCTTTTTTTAAGCTGATCCATAAGAACACAGTCTTTGAGTGATTCAGAGTCTGTAACATCGATGCTACGTAGCACTTATCCAGATAATTGCTTAATTCGTAAGGTCTTTCCATAAGGTCCTAGACTGTCCGTTGTGTGTGGTAAGTTTAGTTCGAAATGATTCGGCATTCAATTTGAATCTCTGGATCAGAATCTTCTTTACTTACGAGTAATCTTCTAATGTATCCTTCAGTTCTCGTAAAATAATTCGTGAAGTATCTATAGCTACAAAAGGGTGGTTCGTGAAATGTCTGTAGGCAGAGAGAGTAGGTCTGTAAGTAGAAAGGCTCCCAGTTAAAAGAATCTGTCTTCAGTTGATAATTGCTAGTTCCAAATTAGCAAGTTACTTAATTAACACGTCACTTTAATCAATAAGAGTTTGTAACAATTTTTTTTATATAACCAGTTAAGGAGATTTAACTGATATCTCAAGCATTAACATCGTATGTTGAGAATAAATGCATTTCGTTTTTAGATTGCTTTATGGATGTGTTCGAAATATTTCTGAGAATTAAGTGAACATTTTATACCCATTTATGAAAGTTTTAGACATGATCTCACAAATGTTGATAAACTTTGCCGTTTTCATATAACTTCGTTGCCTCATTACGATTGAAATTTTTACATGGTACGTTACTATATTACATTTGTAATACAAAACATATTGTGAAAGTTTTGAGCGCGAAGACCTATGAAGGATAATTATATGTAACTTACATTTATGTACTTTAAATCTTAAAAATTGCCGCCCAGTCGGTGTAGTGGTCAGGGAAGCTGACTGCGATGCCGAAGGGCCTGGGTTCGAATCCCGGAGAAGGCAGGGTTGTAACTGCCCGTCCCTTCATAGGAAAGGCGATGGTGGCCCACCTATTAGATGTTCCCATAATAAAGAGACCACCGCATCCGGCCGTGTATAGATTAATTGACTGGGTTACATTTGTAATTGTTCACAATCTGCCGTTGGGGAAAAAAAGTCTTACAAAATTCAAACTTCAAACTCACATTGTAAAATTAATTTTCAATAATTGTCACGATATCAGTATAATACATGAGATCGTAGCTTTCCGTGGAGGAGTAATGTTTCTTTGAAGTATAAATGGTGGTTTTTATTTACAGTAAAATTCTGTGATCTAAAGATGGTACATTTGTTGTGTTATAAATAGGTGTGTATTTAATTATGGCAAAGCACACTAGGGCTATCTGCCTAACAGGAGGGAAGCCTTTCGTGGAGGACTTTCTAAGGGAAACTGGCTCGTATACACGTTACACATGCGGAAAACCACGAAAACACCCATGCAGCCAGCCCGTTCGCAGGATTCGAACCTCGGACCGAACTACCAGAGTTCAGCGACTTTACCGCTCGGCCGCTGGTCGGCCTGTGTTATAAATAGAACTTCAGGATATGTATGACTGTTAATCCAAATTTCCATATCAAATTAATGCGCTTCGTAAATACCGGTGTGTACAACATAATACAATATGTAAAAATATCCATATGTCCTAACAAATATTAATTAGATTTCGATCGGATATGGCTATTCCAAAACTGTATTTTATGCAGTAATCCGATAACAATTGATTCAATCAGGTGCAAATGTTAACGGAAATTACAGTCTTCATTATTATTAACAAATTTAAGTTCACAATGATTATATTTTTGAATTAATTTCATATTTCAGCTCGCTTGAATATAGTTGTTACTTAACTCAGCAATCAGAAACTGATGATTTTACTAACCTTTGAGAATAAACCACAAGTAAAAGAAGGTACAAAATATACTTTATTCACATTTGGTCAAAATGGGAGACATCGATATGTTCAGCATTTTATATGAGTAACATCCATACATTCATTAATAGGGCCAACATCAAATTCACAAATAGGATGTCGGTGAGTTTTAAAGAATTTAGCATAAGTTGAGCACCATTTTTTTGTACACATACTTTTCGGAGTCCATCACAGGCACAGAAACTAAGATCACCAGTCATTTTCCAATCTAAAATGAAACAATGATCACATACATAAATATTTTACAAATCAGAAAGTAAGATTATCATGTCTTAAACATGTGTGATTTACAACATTCACATAATAAAGAGCTGCATATAACCATTTTTAAATTTTATTTAGCTTTTTTCCTTAAATAATGTTTAAAACAAAAACTTGCAAAACACATATAGTAAAGCTTTAACTATCTATGTGAATGGTCCTCAAACTTTGCAGAAACAATAAATCTTTGTTTTTATTTCGGTTTTGTAAGTAAATCATTATCATGTCTCAGAAAGTAAATATTAAAAAACACAATGTAATAAGTTTTATCATGTTCCAGAAAGTAAATATTAAAATAACAATGTAATAAATTTTATCATGTTCCAGAACGTAAATATAAAAAATACAATGTAATAACTTTTAAGTGCACCATATGTAAAAAGCAAGTAATTAATTCTCATGAAATTAGATTATTTCAAGTAACTATAACAACAGAAACAAAAAATAAAAATTAATTTTACTATATAAAATGATTAGCTTTGCACAAAATTCTTTCGAATTTTATTTTGATTTGCAAAACATTAGAGCATGGTTTCCCAACCTGGACGCTACCACCCTCTGATAGGAGGTGAACAGATAAAAGGAGGATTATTGGTTTAAAAAATACTTATAGGGCGTTCAGAACCAAGTGGGCAATAAGAACACGCTTTGAATCTTTAGTTTCCAACATTTATTTCTAAAACTATTAATTACAAATTGCAATTACCCATCTTTTAGAAAAATTATGTCACTGGCATCAATCGAGTCTATTTTTTAATGCAAGTTATACATATTTATTTTTCTTCCCCTTTCGCATTTTTGTTTCTTAATTCTTCTTCGCATTTTTGTTTTAGACATTAGCAGCGGACTTGTAATTATATATCTAGTACTGGCAAGTACCATACAATGTGTATATCTATATAGTACTCGTAAGAAACCCCACGATTTATATTTCACCCTCCAAACAAGTACAGAGAAGGGAAGCATCGTTGTCATAGTAACCAGGCTGTGGGTAGTCCTACAGATTTCACTCTTTATGGCTGAACGTTCATAGCGCCATTTGTTATTAAAAATCGACATGAGAAAGGGGTATTAATCCCTCTTAAGGGTTTTACATTTTTATATGCACGCCTTTTTTTTTTATCCTTTTCATCAAAAATTTGAGTTTCGTTACGGTGGGACAGAATTAAAACGAGTGTACCTTAAAGCAGTAAATATAAGAACTATTTCATTTTAAGTAATAATGCAATCAAGCGATAAAAATAAATTGTGCCTTTTCGAAACCCCAAACAGCCATAAAAACATTTGCGATGCAAAAGCGACGAACTTGAAGCAAAACAAAATTGTCTAGAGGAAAGAATAAAATACAATATTCTATTCTCCCTTTTAAATAATTTGTTATTGAACGTTTTTGGAAAAACTATTACAAACACTCTGCATATAAACGAAAAGAAACAGTAATAAACGTAACGGCGAAAAATGGATAAAAATTACCTTGTTCAAATGTTATGATTGCAATGACTTATGATTGCAATTTTTAAACTTTTTACACAGAGTTTTATAAAACTTTGAATGCTTTTTAAAGGGTTCATGTATCATTTAGAAGATATTTACTTTAAGATCCGAACATACCATACGATATTTTATCAATTGCATGCTTCTGACGCGTTAGCTGTAATTACTAGCACCATTCCTTTCCCTCAATAGCTTTCTGGGTCTGGCTTTAATATATGTTTCTGGGATACTTTGACCTTCCTCATGTAACAGATTAATTTGAGGTATATCACAATACAAAACTAAAGCAAGAGAGTGAGTAATTTCCGATATCAGTGACTAAATAATCAATAGCTTACAGTCTAATGATCTATTTTACAGACAATAATGCAATGCTATTAGAGACTCATCTATAGGAGAACTGTCCAAAATAATCGCAACTGAAATCTATACAGCCTCAATTACTTCGGTTTAATCTGAATGCTCTTAAATAATTGTAAATACCGCTTATGCTTATTTTATAATATATCTTATGACATACTGAAAATTAATAAATTTTATTTTGATTTTGTCATTAACGTTTTCCATGCCTCTAAGTAATGGAATAAAATACACTTTATTAATTTCTGATTATCCCCAAGGGAATAGTATTTTGAAGTTATAATTATGAAAAAGCCTGAATTTGGTGTAATGTAACACATTTCATTCGCTGTCATTAACACCTATGCTGCATTTTTGCTATATTTTTCTTTGCGTTTATTTAAATTGATTATTGCTATGATTTAACTTTATATCTTCAAACCATGTGAAATGTCAAATAAATGCCAATACAATTAACTTCATCATGCTTTTGTTCCGTTTTTGGATAAAAGAAATTAAATAAAAGATTCAGTTTTTTTTAATCAAAGACACTATTTTTTTACTGTTGTGAAAAATTTTTGAACTAATTGAAATTATATCTCGCCGTTCTAAATTTATTTCCACTGGTTGATTGTAAAATTGTTGTAATTCCTTGCGAATAAAATAATGTTTATTTAAATATTTCACTAGAGATCATGATTTTAAAGTTCTAGGCTTTCCAGATCTAGAATTAGGTTTCAAAGACTTATACAAAATGCTTTTAAATTTAGTCCCAGTAAAAGAGACTTTTCTAAATGTGAAAAATAGTATTTGCAATTTCTTTTCAAATTTTTTTCTGGGCTTAACAACATATTGCACCTAAATATTCTCCCAAGCTAAAATATAGCTTTCCTTAAAAAATTTTGATAATTCAGTCCTCTGTGTGTTATCGTAGGATATTTAGTTAACATTAGATAAATAGTCCTTTCCATACTGCTTTTATTTTGTTAAAATAACACATAATTAGTATGAAGGTAATAAAAAATTATTACTATTATTTCTTTATTTGTTCGTAATTACGCACTGATGTATTAATATCAGAACATCATTAGATTTGTAGAATTTGTATACAAGAATTTGAAAAATGTTTATACTGATTTTCTCATGTAAATTACAAGCAAATAAATTCTTAAAAATGCTTTCAAAATAGTTTATATAAATACACATATTACATAAAGTATTATTTTTTTTTCTTTTATACATTGGTTCCAACTTTACCAGGATGATGGATTAATAAATGAAAGAAAGATATGAGCTATCCTATTTTTATCGCAAAAATGGTGCAAGCTTATTGCAAGATTTTTCATATTTATCTTTCTTATCTTTAGGGTATATACCTTTCAAGGAAATGAGGGATATTCCACTTCAATAAAACTTATATATAGTTAAAAAAGAAATAAAATGATGGATAATAAAGCGAGATGATGATAGTTTCCGTATAAGTTGGAAAATGTACCGAAACTTCTTTAAAAAAGAGTCATATACGAATGAATTTTCAAAAATAATTTAGTGAAAAGGTTTTTCGATTTTGTCTTATGAATGAATTCAAATAGTTTTCATTTTCTGATTTCCTTATGCATTTCATCAGTCTTAATGGATTGATTTCTGTGAGATAATATACGTTATGGTATTTTGCGCATTATTTTTCTAAAAGGAAAACATACGAACCACTCTAATCTCTCAGGTTGGAAAAATTATCATCTTGAACTTAGTGTTCTTCAGAGATGAAACTGGACCAAAATACCAATAAATAAACATGATTCAAGATTAAAGTTTTAAGTTTTTAAAAAAAGGTTAGGGGAAAACCTATATTTTTATGTACGTTTCACATTATTATGACATTAAACCTCAGGCTTTAGGTAATTAGACTGTCACGTGCACACCTATTGAAAATATTTGGGTATGTAGCGTATTATATGAGACATGTCAGATTTATTTATATATTTATTTAATATAACATATGAAGACAGATAAGAATTTTTAATACACTGTTTAACAGCGTTAACGGTTTAACAGTTATCACAAACTTCGGAAAGACCAACTCAACTTTAAATTGGATATGTGCTTGTTCATATGTATTATAATTCATGTGGCAATGATTTTCTTTTGCAGGAATAAACGTTGAAAAATGGAGTTCCTCTTACCCAACACGTTCGAACGAGATGAGCGTGTTATCATACAGTTCTCTGTGCAAAGTATGTAAACTAGCTGAAGTGCTTTATAGTATAAAGTGCTTTATAGTAATATGAGATATCCTATTTTTATCGCAAAAATGATGCAAGCTGACTCATTGTAAGATTTTTAATACTTTTTTCTTATCTTTAGGGTATATACCTTTCAATGAAATGAGGATTATTCTGTCTCGATGAAAGGTAAATACAATTAAAAAAAAAGTGCATTTTATAGCGTGCATCTGAAAAAAACACGGATGGATTGACGAAAAATGTTTATACAAGAATGTGAACGAAGTAATTATTCTGTTCCAGGTCAAGCCCATGTAGTTGCGACAGAAGACAACTCTGAAAACGTGAATGAGGCTATTGGTGCCAATAGAATCATTAGCATTCGATCCATAGCACATCAACTCAACGTGCTTTATTTTGCTCCATAGAAGATTGCGAAAAATCTGGGATATTACAAAGTGTCAGTGCAATAGATTATCAGGATGCTGAAGAGGAACTTCAGAGGTTTCACTCAGATATTGTGATGAAGCTATCCGTCCCTCAATGACTCGAAAGCCATCTTCAAAAATTAAATAGACGGCATTCGTTGAACACAGAATAAAACAAAAATCTGAATGCCTATGGTGATTTTTCTGTAGAAAAAATGCTGTTACATAACAGCCGATGACTAACGCAATTAAACGCAATAATTAAAACGCAGTTAAAAGTAATTATTAGTTTCGCATCTACTATTGGCAAACGAGTTGCATTCGATTAGCCCATATAAAAACATAACTCGTAATCAAATGGCTAATCTTTCTATTTCAAGAATAAACAGGTAGAAAAATAAACTGTCCTTAGCTTTAGATTTCTTTAATATTAGGAAATATAACGTAAAAGTCGCTTCGGAAGG